ATATATATTTTTTTTTATTTATTTTGGAAAGCTTGCTTTCAATATACCCGCATTCAATTCAACTGACAAATAGAACTAAGGTTTAAACAACATTTACAAAGTTTCGTTTAGCTCGTTATTCGTTTGGTTTTGCTTAAACAATAAAAAACATACAAATTATTCAACGCCTGTTAACAATTTTCAATTGTTATTTTTCATTCTCTTTCTTGTTTTAACAAATTGTGTAGACTGTAATTAAAGCCTTGTGCTATGATGCAGTCGCAGTAACATTGATGTGAGGAACTTATGGTGATGCTTAGCGAAGGGCATAAACGTAATTATAAAGTAATTAACAAAAAATAAATAAACTTAGGCAAGTTAACAATTAAAATGTGTAAACAAATGTCAATGCATGCTACGTTTAAAAAAATAATATTAATAACATTTAACAATGGATCTGCATATCAATCAATCGATCAATGTTTCAATCGTCAATCTGTGTTTAGTATACATCTGCGTTAAATTCAACATTTATTCGATTAGTTAATGTGCGTACGTTAATTATAATTATAATAATAATAATACATGCACATAATACACTGTTAAYACTTTCCTCACTTCTGTTGGACAGTTTAAATTGTTTTTAATTCTTTTGTTGTTTTGGCGACTTAAAGCTCTCTATGACCTTAATATATATCTGTCTATATATATATTTGTATGGGTCTATATAGCTACCACTATTGGCAGCAGCTAGGACTCAGTTTTGTATATCGTTTCGTTTTTTTTTTTGTTTTTTTTTTTTGGATTTAACATTATTGCTATTATCATTAATTTTGCATATGGTTCTCTTTGCTTCGGTTGCTGTTTGTTTAAATTTTAAATGCATTTCATTTAGTTTTGTTTTTGGTTTTCGTGTTTTGCCAATTGGTTTTCTGCTTTCTGTTAGGAATCAACATTTCTTATTAGTTATACTAGATACGTATATATACGTATGTGCATTGCTATATAATATTGTATCTTTCGAATTCGTGCTTAAAACATATTTTTGATATACATATCTTTCTCTCTATATATATAAATATATATATATTCTCATATCAGTGTGCACAGCAGCACCTTAACAATACAAATACAACAAATACAATGTGGCATGGTTAACAAATGACGAATATAAAATAAAAAACAATTCAAATTAAAACAATTAACAAAAGGTTTGTAACTCCAAACAGAATGTCACTTAGTTGTTGTCCCTAACAATTAGAATAGTTTAACGCGTTTCCATAAATTCATTTGTTTTTCAAAAATGATTAGACACAAACATATTTGATTTTGAGTGCCACATATAAATCGTACATATATATAGCTCATATATACATATGTATAGAAAACACATTGGATAAATATTGCACTTGCGAACCGAGGAATTTGATTTCGTTTGATTTCTTTTTCTAGTTTAAATTTCGCCTGCGCCGAAAGACCAGTGCGAATATGGATCTGATGCGCCACCAGCGACTGCGATGTCGCGTGTGTATCTTCTCCGAGCTAGTATCCGTGCCCAGTGCCTTTTGCATCTCTTTGCGGCGGATTTCACGCACCAGCGTATAGAATGCCTCATCGATGTAGTGCCTCAGTGCAGCGGATGTCTCAAAGAACGGGCAGCCGAATTGATTGGCTAAGTTTTTGCCCTCCTCGGTGGTGACACGTCGCTGAGATTCCAAATCCACTTTATTGGCTATCAACACCAGCGGTATGTCCTCCGATAGACGGACGCGTGTTATCAATTTGCGATATTCGGATGCCTCCTGAAAGCTGTGGCGATCGGTAACCGAATAGCAAATGATGAAACCTTCGCCGCAGCGCATATATTGGTCCCGCATGGCCGTAAACTCGACCTGGCCAGCAGTGTCGAGTATGTCCAGCAGAGCGGCCTCATTGTCAATTACCGCCTGTTGCTGATACGAATCCTCTGCACACACACACGCACGCACACCGTGATAGAGAGAGAGAGCATGTAACAAAGAAAAGTTCAAAGGTGGAACGAACAGTCGAAAGAGAACACACTCACCAATTGTGGGGTCATGGTAGTCCAAAAAGCTGTGACTGACGAACTGCAGGGTAACAGCTGTTGTCCGTGTATACATGTGTGAGACGGAGAGAGAGAAAAGAGAGCGTATGTTAGTATGTATGTGTGTGTACACGCAAAGTTTGCCGAACGCACGAAGCGAATCATTGGGGTTGATTGTGGGTGGTTTGTTGTGTGCCGTAAAACAAAGCGTAAAAGAAATTCAGATAATTTATTGATTTTTCCCATAGACGGGCAGACGTACTAGAGTAAAATGCGCAGCAGTGATTGGAGCCGCTAGTCGCAGATAGAACACTTACCAGACTTGCCGACACCGCCATCGCCCAGTATGACGATCTTGTAGACCCGCAAGCCGCCACGCATATTCTGTGGTGCACTGGGTGGTTTGATTAATAGGCCACTATTATGGCCATTTTCTTTGCGCTCGTTTGGCAGCTGCATGGAGTCAGTGTCGGTGCCGCTGGTGCAGCTTTTTAGTTTTGTGGATCGTTTGAGAGCGGCACAGCCAATGGACATGTCGCCGGCCATAGCTGGGAGGCGTTGCTCCCCAAATTGCTCTAAAAGGCGTGGCTAATTTTGATCTGTTGCGGTCGCCRCCGTCGCCGCCGCCGCCAACACCAAAATTGTGCGTAGTTTGCAGCGCCTGGCCTGTAAATGTCAAAAATTTTAGTTGCAGTTTGTGTACCATTGCTTTTTATTTTATTTTTATTTTCCTATTTTTACTTCCACTTACCACAACTTTGCACTTGGCCCGGAATCCTACAACGGCTTTTGTTGACTTCAATTTCAATCGTATCTATACATAATTGTGATGGGTTGTTTTCCCTCGTTCCGTTCTATTTTGTTGTTGTTGTTTTTTTATGGTCGTATAAGTGTGTGACCAGCTGGACGCAACATCTGAAAATACCATAAAATACTAAATGTTAAATAAAATTATTGACTGTTATTGTGAAGGGGAATGTAAAATTATAGCAAAGGACGGTTAGCGTGTGATTCTTCGATTGACTCCTTATATTAGAATGATGTATAATATAGGATATGCTGGTGATTTATTTGTAAATCGATATTTAAATAATATTATATATTAYAACATAACATATAACAAACATATAATAAAGGACAATAAGAGTGCGCCAATAAAATCAATTACACATGTACTATCGGAAATGCTGTGTCACGTAAGAGATCACACTGTAAGCGATTAATCGGTAACAGCTATGATGCTATAAAAAATGTTACTATAAACTAACTGATTTTTAAAAGAAATGTTCTTTTCTCTTATTTATCTTGCCCACAAAGATTTTACTTAATAAATGAAAAATTCATTTCCCGATATTCCCGTATAAGTAAAGAAAAGTTCAACCTCCAATGCCGCCGGTCTGCCTGCCGCCTGCTTGACGGACTGACCGATCGCTCGTTTTAGTTACGTGCTGCGATCGCGGGTGAGCTGTTCGCGCTCGCGTTCCGTTCCGACAACGACACCTACACCGACAAGCAGTGAAAATCAAGAAGAATAGGAAATTAAAAGAAAAACCGGGAAGAAAAAGATAAATATACAGTGGTGGTGAAATCAAATACGGCCAGCAAAATTGGCATTTAGCGAGCTTAAAGCCAATTGAATTATGTCGGGCGACGTACAGCCACGAAAGCGTAAGGATAAGCGCAAAAGACGTGGTAAGACATCAGCTCTGGCTGGCATATTCGCATCAAATTGAAAACTGAAATGTTTTCTAGTGTAGCTGTCCATTTCTTTTATTAGAATAATAATATTGTCGAGCGCCTTTAAAAATAACTTTGCCCTATTATATAAAATTATACATTGCTCTGTGCCGCCTGTGTCGCTATGCGTGTGCCAAGCAAACTATATAAATGTATATATAGAGAGACAGATATATATATACATATATAAATTTATGATTTCTAAATGTTGCTACAAATAAAGTATATTTAAATATATAATATTTTGAAAATTCTTGTTGGGCCCATGTGACAGCGGGTTCAAAAAATTCATTTGTCTCTAATAAACCAAATCTGAATTTCTACTTTTTTTTCGAAAAAATCTGCTTGTGTTTATTTAAAGCCTGAGCAGATGTTAGATAAAAGTGTTTTTATCTTCTGCTCAGGGCAGCATAAACAAAAGCCGGTAGTTCGCCTCGCTCGCTGCACCTCGTTTGCTGCTGGCTGCTCAGTTTGCTGTCTTTAATCTTAAAGCTTCCATTTGGAATTACGGCATCAGGCACTAAGTATTATAGCCGTGAGAATTTAATTGAAATTGTAATTATTATTAGCTGCAATGTTATTAATTTGAATGTGCCAAAGTCAAGCGACTTCCGTAATCAGAAATTACACCGCCCCCACTACAAATGAGAGTTTTTCCATTATATACACATAAATTTACACACACTCACACAGACACACAGAGAGAGACAAACACTATGGACTCTGTACAGTTTTTCTTTTATTTTCATTTCAATTTTCTTTTACTTTTTGGCCATTTGCCCAAGCGCATGACTTGCGCCTTCTTTGTTTTGCATCAACATCAAACAACAAGAACAACAACAATAACAAACAAACAACAACAACACCACCTACAAAAACAAGTTAAACATATTTCCCATCATTATCTTTTTAAGAGAGTTTATGTTATCATTGTTTGTTTATATACCCTGTAAACGTTGATATATATGTGTGCGTAATGGGATAGTCTGATAATGTTTACAGAGTTTGTAACGAGTCACTCAAAATAATGTATATTAAATGTGCATATAAAAATAAAAACAAAATTGTATAGAAATAAAAATCGTATTTATGTTGTAGTTAATAGATTAAATCAGTTAATAGATTCAATTATTGAGTCAAAAATACAACCCATATCGTAACGAACAACTGCCTACAGGGTATACGCAAGTCGGCCATCTTCGACTATTCAGTTGCCTTAACAAGTGTAACTAACTTTTTGTCTAGATGATCGCAAATCGGAGGGCGATGTCACCATACTGCGCCAGTCCAGCTTTCAAGGTAGAGAGCTGCATACAATGCAGTCTATATATTATATACAGATCACATATCTTATGAGCCCAGCCAATGCAGCTTTGTAATTCCAATTTAGCATCTAGTATTAACTAACATTTCGTTGCTTGTACTAAAAACAAAAACAAAAACCTTCAACCCGACTGCAGTTAATCAACTGAATTCTAATCACATATGTGGGTGTGTGTGTGTGTGTGTGCATTTGTGTGTATTCATTTGTTATCTAGATGACGACGACTCGTCTTCCCATGGCGTGCATATCACAAAGATGGGAAACGATGATGTGCACTTGCACGTGCAGCATCAACATGGAACTGGGGGGCATTGGTGTGCCAAGATTATATTCTTCTCCCTAATGGCTGTGCTGCTAGGACTGGTGGGTCTGATAATAATGGAAAATCGTGGCATAGAGGACTGTAAGTAAATAGATCAATGCATACATATATGATCATCATGATCATCAACAAATTATGACCACTTTGCAGTGGATACACCCCTGTCGGAGTCACGTTATTCCAACTATTTTGATGGCTGGGTGGAGGAGCATCGTGCGGAGGAGCACGATGAGCACGGTGAACATCTCTCACATGAAGCTGCACTGGATGAACATGACGATGAACACGATGATGAAGTGGAAGAGCCATACGAACAGCATTCTGGCGAGGAAGAGGAAGCAGAGCAAGAACATGAGGAAGACGCGAATGATGAGGATGACGAGGAAGAGGAAGAGAATACTGCTGCTGAAAATGTAACAGCTGAGGATGATGAAGAAAAGGATGAGGTAAAATATAGAAGAAATATTTAATTTATTTGTAATATAAAGTTAATCAAATATTTATATATTTTAAATTAATTACAGGATGATGACATAGCAGAGTCTGCAGACCGAACTCAATCCTTGGCCGATGATGCTGAAGAGGTAAAAACATCAATTAACAAATAAGAGTTTTACAATTCAAAGATTCGATTTAGGAGGAAGAAGAAGCTGATGAGGAGGAGGAGGAGGAGGAGGATGCAGATGATGACATTGAAGAGTCCATTGAGCCAATCGCATCCAAGTCAAGAGCTCAGAGTGCGCCCGAAACAGTTGAAGATGATGAAGAAGATGATAATATTGAGGAGGTAAATCACTTAGAGCTAAAATGAATAAATATATATGTATTAATGAAATATAAAATCTCTTAACAGGAAGAGGAGGATGAGGATGAAGAGGAAGAGCAAGCTGAATCTGTTGAGCCAACGATTTCTAAATCTCAGGCTGCTGATGATGATGATGAGCAGGATAATGATGAGGTATATGCACATGTATGATAATTATAAAAAAGAGCTGTTATTAAATAGATACTTCAACAGGATGCTGCGGAGGAGGAGGATGAAGAGCTTGAAGAATCTGCGGAGCCAGCGGCACAAAGTGTTCCTGATGATGATGACGATGAATTCGAGCAGGTTGGCATAAGATAACTAAGTTACCAACTGTGCAGCAGACTTAAATTTGATCATCACAGGCTGACAATGATGAAGATGAATTCGAATCTCTCGATCAAGATGTCGATACTCAGGCTGAGCAGCTAAAAGCCAAGGAAGCAAAAGATCAGGCAGCTGAAGAGAACATTGAGGCAGTTACAACCACCTCCTGGCTGGGCTCACGTAAGTATCCAAGCGACATTTAGGCAGCTCCATTGAACGGTTTAGATGTACAGGTGGCTCCACTTTAAAAGAAAAACAGAAATTTCTATAGAACAAAAAAAATTGTACAAGAAAGTGCAAAGCGAAAATTTATCTAGATATAAAAAATATATTCATATATTTTATTTATATTTACATTTTATTTTTTAAAGTTGAGTTAAAATTTGCGAAAAAAAATTTGTTGTTTACTAAAAGAAACGTAAATCATTTTCCAGTTGCCGTTAAATTTGGCGTTGGCATTGCACTTGCCCTTGTTTCACGCCTTGTATTGATACGGAATAATCCAAATACAAGTGAGTTTTCCACATTTGTTGCTAAATGCCAAACAATTGTTATCCAAGCAATGCATTTTGTTAACGTAACTCCTATATATCATCATATCTGCTGCTTACTTAAGAAAATGCTCTAAAAAAAAAAAAAATCGAAATCGAAGTCGAAATCTCGCAAAATATGATTATACATATATACATTACGTATTTATACATATGTATATTTGTAAATTAGAGGCCTGTGCTTACACAGATCAACAAAATTTAGGCTTAAATGCTGAGCGTAATTCTTGTTGATCTATGTATTAGAAAAAAAAAACTACTCTCAATGTTGTATGGAAACGTAATGTGAAACCAATTGCTAATCAATTGCCTTTCTTCTCATGTTGCTGTCAAATTATTTAACATGTACAGTGCTGCATGACTTAAAAACATGATGAACTGGCTCAATATCTACACTAACTATTTTAACTTAACAAAAACCAAAAATCTGATTCGATTATTGAATATGAAACAAAATTTTTGCACTTTCTTCATTTGTTGTTTAAATTAATTTATAATTTCCATTGTTAGGCTTAAGCTTAATTGCAATTTTTTGTTGTTTTTTATTGTAGTCAAAGCTTTGTTAAAACTCTTAAACAATATGCGCCAATGTATGTATGTAAACTTAATATTGTATGGCTTTGTTGTTAATGCCTGAAGACTCTCTATATCAATATCCACACCTATATATACCATATAAACTAATTTCTTAGCCGATGAGCAGCAGCCGACGCCGGAGACTCAAATGAGACGCCGCTTGACCATTGCCACAGCCGAGGATCATATACCCGATGATGATACGGAGGAGCTGCCGCCGTTAGATGATGGTTGACATAACACACTATATAGATACCAGATTTATATCTTAACTTCGGTCTGGCCGAAGTTGTTTCCAAATAATTTCAAGCCAGATTCCACTTGAAGCTATTTAGAACTTTATTCGTTTAGGCCATTTTCTTGGGTTATTTCATATTTTAATACTTGCCCTATTTCCACTAAAGAGGCGTATTCGGAGGAAGAAATCGAAATCGAGGAGGAAATCGAGGTGGAGACCAGCGATATAGAGGAGTGCGATGATAATGTTGCTCTAACAGCCAGATATGTGCCGGAGACTTTCGAGCAGCTGAGTGCCATGTTCCGGCCCAAAACGGAGTCGCAGCCAAGCGAGAAGGAGTCAGAGAAAGAGCCGGAACCACAACCGGAACCGGAGGTGGAAGCAGAGCGAGAACCAGAAACTGAACCAGAAGCCGAAGGAACAGCTGCCTCAGATATTTATGTGGAATACGAAGACGGAGACATTGAGGATTACGAGCACGACGACAGCGAAGATGATGATGAATTAATCAGCGATGAGGAGGAGGATGAAATCTCCGATGTGGATGATGCTGACCTAATGAGCCGCTTGGAGGCCAAATATGGCCGATTGCCAGCCAAGGAATACGAAAGCGATCCTGATTCCGACGATCCGTCCTGGACACGTAATTACTAAATGTACAATTTACACCAAAAAAGAAAAACAAATCGAATCAGTCTACAAAGCAAATCTACAACCAGTCCATCCCACGCATTGATAAATTTGACATATATATGTATTTATATACATATATCAGACATATAGACACGTATTATAATCTCTAAAGTTAATTCGTTCATGGCATACGTTAATCTAATCATAGTAAGTCATAGTCTACAATCGAATTGCTAATCTTACGTCTAAGGTGGAGCCCAACACACAAATTAACCGTTCAGTGGTGTCTTTAATCTTAAGACTTTCTCCTTCTCCCATTATTGTGCATTTCAATTAAATTTATAAATGTATTTCTTATCAGAAATTAAACCTAAGGAACCAACTGGAGCCAAGTTTGTTGAGGACGAGCTATTCGAGCAAGAGCTGCGCCGAGCTCAAGCCGAAATGATCAATGAGGTGAGTGCGACATCTAAATTTTCGCTGACAGCAATGTTAATCTTTCTAAAACTTTTTCTAAAACTAGCTCAACAATCATTAAAAAAAAAACACACCTTAAACAAAAGTCCTTTCATAGCTTTAATTAATGTTCGCTTTYTTAGTTCATGTGTTTAGTTTTTCAGTTTATATTTATTAATGTTTTTTTTTTTTTTTTTTGGGAAATTTTAGAAAATTGAAAAATTGAAATTTAAGAGCAGAGTTAAAGAGAAATCGAATAGACAACCAATATTATTAGAGAGGTTTTTGGTTAGGAAAATAAAAACATTTTTGCCGTAGGGCTTAAATTTCATTTCTGCTGTAGGTGCTAGACACACCCACCTAAAGCTTACAGCCCCTGAGAGCGAGCCCTAAAGCAAATATGTTTTTGACTACAAAATTACAAGAAATTTTGAAGTTTTGAGATTAAATTTATTTATTAATATTTTACTTTTTTAATTTAAAATTAAGAAATCTTTGAGCTTTATACTATTTTATTTATTCGTTCATAGTTATAAACGAATGTTAACAGCTCCTAACTAACCCAATAGTGCCTATCGAATGTAAGACATGTTTACAGGGTATTTACTAGTCGACTCGTTTACGTTTGTTGTTACCTGAAATGCTTTTCTCCTTTTTTTGCTAATCTTCGCTTTCTTTGCATGTTTTTTAAAAAAAATAAATAAATATATGCCAACGCCTAACACCCAGAACCATGCGAATGCTCTGCGCGCCTTTAACACGCTCACACACACATACGCACACAAGCCGTTGGCTCATTTAAGGCGGGCGCAGGCGCTGGAACGGATCGCCGAGCTGCGCCGCAGCAATCAGCTGCTTATGGACGCCATTGAGTCCTATAAGCGTTATTTGGCTTTCGATGAATCGATAACAAATATCGACTATCGCACAGCTGGCGAACGTTGCATAGAGCATATGCGGTTTCTGGGTGAGTAACTGTTACAGTTTCACATTCAAATTTAGATTCTACAGAGATTAACTGTTCCCAGGTCAGACACAACCGGCGGTTGCCATACACGAGCTGCTCATCGAGCGTTATCCGGATGAGGTGCAGCTGCGCAATCAGCTATCGCTTACCTATCTAATGTCCAATAAGTGGGTGTGTGACGAGCTTTACAAGCTGCTTGCAGTGTTTAACAAAAAATCTCTTTACAGTTTGATTAAGCTGCAGCAGGTCTCACGCGATACGCTCAAGCGCTGGCCACGGGATCCCTTGGCGCAGCTGCACTTTGGCCTGACACTCAAACAGGTGGACGGCGACTATGCCCAGGCATTGCCCTATTTACAGCGAGCCATAGATTCGCAGGCGGCGGGCACTCAGGAGCCCTACTTCTATCTAGCGCTGGGCGAGACGTTGCAGCGTCTCGGCAAACAGGCCGAGGCCTTGCAGCTATACGAGCGCGGCGTGATGAGGGGATACTTTGCCAGCGTCTATCAGCGTTCGCTCTACAATGTGCCGCGGCTGCGTGCGAAACCCTTTTGGCAAATTACAGACACTGATCAGGCCAAGGAGCTGAAGCAGCTGCAGCAGAGCTGGCGTTCCATACGCAACGAGGCGCTGGCGTTGCTCAATGTCGAAGGCAATTTTCAGCTGGAGGCGGAGCAGCTGCGCGACTCGGGCAACTGGCAGCAGTTCGAGCTTTTTGCCCGCGGACAGCGGCTACATCGCAACTGCCAGCGGGCGCCCATCACGTGTGCGCTGCTCGAGAAACTGCCAGCTGCCAGCGGCTGTCGTCGTGGCCAGATCAAGTTCAGCGCTATGCAGGCACAGACTCATGTCTGGCCACACTGCGGACCCACCAATTGCCGACTGCGTGCGCATCTCACGCTGGTGGCGCCGGAGCCACACTTAACTAGCCTTCGGGTGGCCGATCAAGAGCGGTGAGATTGACATTGATATACTCTGTAATCATGTGCATCATACTACTATGCAATTTACAGGGTATTTATCTACTGTACACTAATATTCTCTCTCTTTCTTTTGATAGCACCTGGCATGAGGGCGATTTGTTCATCTTCGATGACAGCTTCGAGCACGAAGTCTGGCACAATGGCACGCAGCTGCGTTTGGTCCTGATCCTGGACCTCTGGCATCCCGACTTAACTGCCCAGCAGCGACGCGAATTGACGCCCATTTAACCCCTAATGCTTAACTGCTAACTCTTGTTAATATTTTTAACCAAAAGCAACCAAAGTCAATGCACGTTCACTCACTCTAGTTATTTTGTTACATACTTCACATAGATCTATTTGTATATCTTATCTGATAAGTTTACATTGTATGAATGCGCGTTTAGCTGTAAAACACAAATGTCTAAGGTTTAAATGTAAAACTTAAAGGCTGCTTGGTTGGCAGCGTCTTTTTACTGTTAAGCTAAAAACAATTTATAAAATACAGTAAAGTTTTCTGATTGAAAAAAAAAACAATGTTTTTTATTTTTATACGCTGGGTATATGTTCCGACATTTGTTATAAATTCTGTAGTTAAAAAGCTATTTTTAGATAATTAATATTAAATGGACTATAAACATTAACTATTGAATTATTTTTTTAAATATATTATTAAGATAATAACTATATTAAACCGAAAAATCCCTTGACAATGAACTTGAGTT